ACCCCATTCAGCGTGAGAGTGCATTGAAAATATTTTTTCTCGATTCAGGGAGATGAAGACCATGTTGTGAGCCTGTGTTATGAGACTGTTTGCGATGGCCATTCAGTCCTGCTTTTCTGTCCATCCAAGAACTGGTGTGAGAAGCTGGCAGACATCATTGCCAGGGAATTCTACTGTTTGCAACAGGCTGAGAGTAAGAGAAAATTAGTTAATAGAAGACGGTAGTATGCACAGTGCTTTTAATGACAACTAATGATTTTAGTAGAAACTATAAAAATATTTTCTCTCTCAAGGTTCTGCAAAAAACTCAGCCCTTGTCCCAGTTGTTGTGGACAGAGAAGGGATTGATGAGGTTCTGGATCAACTAAAGCGTTCTATCTCAGGCCTGGACTCTGTGCTCCAACGTACTTTGCCGTGGGGAGTGGCATTTCATCACGCAGGTATTTCTGCTTATCTTAGTCTTGAATTCTGTAATGGTCAAGTCATATGGGTTCTTTTTGCTGTAGTTACTGGTTGCTTTTTGAAGCCTTCTGTAGCTTATGAGCGAATTAAAATGCTTTGAGAACCTCACAGTTAGAAGTAAACTTGAAATTCTTTTATTGTGGCTAAAGACTTTAATTCACTAATTGTCATGATGAATCTCTCTGTTGTGTTGGATAACAGCAACTTTTTAAATATACCTTGTTTTTTTTTCTATGAGATGCCTGAATGCCCAAGCATTTTCAAGTTGTCCCTAAAGGTGCCAGAGTATTTCAGGGTAATTTTCCTCAACTTTTCCTCAACCAAAATAGATGAGAAAAACTATAACAATGAAAATAAACCTAAAAGAAGCATGTGCCAGGAATGCTTCTGGGTAGATTTTTTATTTATTGCTTAAGTAGGTAATAGTGTATGTCACCTGTTGATTCACTGGGAGAAAGAACTGACTCTGGAAGAGAGAACAGTAGCTATGGCATTGAATAATTCCAAATGCTTCTAGAGCGTGGATTTCTTTATTGAGAATAAAATTGACCTGAAGCCCTCAAGGAAATGTAGAAAGATACATATTAGACCTGTAACCTAAAAGGGAAATAGTGAAGGAGGATTCCAGGGTCAGGACAGCAAATGACTGAATCCTAGTTCTCTACTGTGTTCGTTACATCTGTTTTTCTTCCTTTTGTTTTATTTTATTTATTTATTTACTTGTGGTGCTTGTAGATATGTAATAAATAGTTGTTCATCTTGCTACAATGTGTACAAGCACCTTAGAAAAACTAGTTTATAACTATTACTGTCAATTGAATAATAATGGTGAAATTTTACTTCACTCATGGTTAGAAAGAAGTTAACTGAGGTAGTGTTGTGAGTCTAGTTCCTAACACTGAATGGTGAATGTTCATTAGGTTTGTTTGTTCTTCCCCTTGCTTGGGGGTAATATTATTACCTCTTAAATGCAGCCTCACCATTACTAGATTTGGTAAAAGTTGTCTCTCCTCAGGTCTCACTTTTGATGAACGGGACATCATTGAAGGAGCCTTTCGCCAAGGTTTGATTAGAGTCCTAGCAGCAACCTCCACACTCTCATCTGGAGTGAATTTGCCTGCACGCCGAGTAATTATACGCACTCCCATGTTTGGTGGCAAACTGCTGGACATTCTTACTTACAAGCAGATGGCTGGAAGGGCTGGCAGGAAAGGAGTAGACACAGAGGGTAAGCAGAGGCTTTATTAACATTCTCTAAGAACGGTGTTAATCTGATTAAATCCAGGGCAGTGTTTTGCAATTAGTGACTAATCGTGATGAATTTCTTTGGTATTCAGTATGATTACATTAATCAAGATGAAATTGTTTGGTATTAATGGGGTAAAAATTGTAATTCCCAGGGGATTCTTTTCACTGCATGAGACTTACTTTGGTATTTACACGTCAGTTACTTCAGGAACGGCTATTTTCTCCTTTGAATTCTTGTTGATTTCTAAGGCTGTGTTGTTCATTTGCCTTAATTCCGTGATCCGTGTTTTTACAGTTTACAAAAGCATTTACTGTTTCAGTGAGAAAATTTACAGTAAACTCTCATTGGACAGTCCTAAAATGTAAGAAATGCATTTAAAGTCTGCAACCATAATCTGACAAACTACTTCTGTTGTCTGAGGTTCTGATTTGGATTTATTAAACTTCCAGTAGAGTTAACCATAACTTTTATGGACCTTGAAAGTAGTAATGCAACAGAGAGACAGGGAAATATGAACAGTAGTTGACAGATAATATGGTGGCTTCATGCATACAGCGACACTGATTGATGTTCAACAAAATAATCCTGGCCTGTTACTCTAATTTGCAATGGAAATTTATCTTCATGGATGATATTTGGAAAAATTGTGTTTACAAGGGTAAACACAGTAGAAAATAAAAAGTTCAACAGAAGCAGGAAGTGGGATTTGCCCTACTGATGGTTTGATTGGCACTTGCTGGAACCCTCTGTAAGCAGACTGTTCTTACATTTAACTTTCTATTTTTGCCGGAGTAGCATAGCAACAGAGCATTTTGCGACCTATATCTCTGTGAGCTATCCCTATGTGTTGAAGAAAAGGGCAGCTGCATTCTGTATTTTGAAATTTTCCAGACTTTGTCATTTGAGTGTAGCTGGCAGGTGTAAAATTACGTTATTCCTTGAAGTTTCTTTTTTTTTCCCCCTTCAAGTTACAATAATTAGTACCCTTTTTTGACAGTCCTGATATGACTGTGTTTTGCGCAGTAAGCAGTTGATTTTATGCTGATGAGCTTCATGAATGTACCATTTTTTTTCCACTCTACAGAGTCTTTTGGATGAGAACATAAAGCTACATTACCAGCTGCTACTCTTTCACAGAGTAGGGAGACTGGAGGACAGCAATTTCAGCTGGAAAAAATGCCGTATGTGGATATGAAATTCAGCTGAGAGACAGAAGATAAATGCTGTTAGGTTGATTTCCTCCTCCCCTCCCAACATTGTAGCGTTGGACTGTCTCAGGTTTTGATTTTTAATTTTTTTTTTCTGATTTGATGGAAATTTAAAAACATCATTTTAGAAAATTAAATTGGATTATTTTTGCATTCATCAAAACTTTCATGTTCCCAAGGTGAAATAGGTAAAGCTGTTCAATATCACTAAACAAACCCTAGAAATACAGTAAGGCCTTTTTTATTTTTGATGGAGTTTTATGCCTAGGTAGCCAGAGTCTTCTGGTGTTTGTCTAGTCTGATGCTAACCTAGACTTCCCCTCTCAGAACAGCTTGGTTCCCTTTTTTTAATTTTTTTTTTTTTTTTTTACTGTTGACTGGGTTGCAATTATTGGCTTTAAGTTCTCAATGGCATCTTGGGGAAAGCATTGAAAGCGTTTCCCTCAGGTCTTACATGACTGTCAGATGATGTAGAGCCAAGTGCATGCCTGTCTGCTGTTAGATTTATCACACTGAAGAGTCAGTTTTCAGAGGGAACTGATATATTGACTATATCAATTTATATACTGAATATATATTCAAATGTGAAATGAATGAACATTCTTTATTGCTACAATCAAAATAAGCTTTGCTTTCACAAGACTGCTTACAGACAGTTCATCTTCTGTACTCTCAGCTCTGGCAAAAGAACATGGTCAGCAGATGTCAAAAATTTCACCTGGCACAATGAAAAAAAAAATCCCGGAGACGCATGCTCTGAGCATGTCTTTCATCCTAGAATTCATTTATGTAATTATGTTTAAGCTGTATTCAGTTACTCACCTACACTGCATTTGTGGTATTTATTCTGTTCATCAAATTTAAGTGCAGTTGGGTTTTCCTTACCTCTGGATTTGCTAATTACTGTAGCACTACCACAGCTATGGTTTTATCCTAACTTAGCATCTCTAGAATCTTACTAAGATACCCACTACCAAAATTACCTTAGTGTCCAGGCTACATACGCTTAAATCTTAACAAGTTATCATAAACTTATCATGATATTTACTGTCCAGCTAAACCAAATCTAATGCTTTCTTCTTAGTCAAGGGCAAGCTTGTCCTACCCCTAATTCATTGATCCTGTGCCAACTGGCAAAGCTTCTAACTAGCTAGGTCTCCCAGGGACCTAGTTTCTCTGTGATGGCTTTGTAGAAAAAAATCTCCTGTATGTGACCACTGTGTTTTTCCATGGGTAGTGTGTACTATTATCTTGTTGAAGGAATTGGCCCATTATTTTTATTTTTGTTTCATGGCTCTGGAACCTTTTTTATGTCCAGAGAATTTCAGTAGTTAGGGATTAACTTAATGTCTGATAAAGAATTTTAAGGTAAGGTGTATTTAGATGTACTTTTACTGGAAAACATTCAGGATACTTAAGATTTTATATGTATGTGTGTATGTATATACATGTGTCTATGAAAGTTCAGAGAATGCATAGTTACTTAGACTAACAACTTTGGATTTCTGAATTGCTTCGGTGTCTGTGTTATTTCATTTCGGGGGTGGAGGCTGATTGACTTAACACAAACCGTCAAAGTGCTGTGCACAGCTTTTATGTTTTCTTCTTGCTTTTGAGAATCTTTTCAATGTAATAATATAGTGCAGAAGAAAAATTGATGCCACTGTATATTATAGCTCTAGTCAAATCCAGAACAAGGAGCGAGAGTGGTTCAGCAGCAAGGCAGATGCACAGAGAGGCTATAAAAGCTCCTTAGCTGATTTGGCAAGACCCTGACTAGCCTAATGTAACTTTGAAGTTTGCTCTGCTTTTAGTTCTTAAGTATTATGCATCTGTGAAGTTCTTGCATAGCAAGGGATATACACTGTTCAAGGTTGTAAAGAAGTTTCTCTTTTTTTTTTTTTTTTTTCCAAAAATACCCACTGTTTTCCATTCCAATAATATGTCCTTGATGAACAGTAAATAGCTATCACAGTGCTAAGATGCAATACTGAAGTCATTAATGTTTTGTGTGTTTGTTTTGTTGTTTTGGTTGCTTTTCTTTTCCTATAGGTGAGAGCATTTTAGTTTGCAAGCCCTCAGAAAGATCAAAAGGAACTGCTCTACTTCAGGGATCTCTCAAGCCTGTTTGCAGTTGTTTGCTTAGAAGAGAAGGGGAAGGTGTTGCTTCTAGCATGAAAAGAGCAATACTTGAGGTACAGGACACATGGAGAGGGATTAGAACAGTGCTTGCACTCTTGTAATTGGCAGATGGTTTCTGTGCACTTTCTTTTCCTTCTGTTTACTCCCTTGCCAACCCAAGCAGCTTCAGAAGAAAATTACTTGTGTCTGCCACCTTGCTTCAGTATTCAGTATTTTGTTTGGTATGTTTCATTCTCTGCTTACTGCAGATTAGGATGTGAGCAAACAGGGGTTACTAAGCTTTGTTTTGCATTTATACTCAGACTGCAGGCAGAAATAAGTTTAATTCTTAAACTTCATGACTTGACAGTCTTAACTGGGAAATGCTTGTGAATTACTGGTCCTAGACGCTTTGTAGACTGAATTGGGCCATAATGACATTTGTGGAACCTTGTAGGGCCCCTCAATGTATCTACCTTTTTTGCACAGAAATGATAGAAAATTTGTAAATACATTTGTGGTGAACAAACAGGTGTGGCACCCAGTTCACACCTTCTAGCCTGCCCTCCTCTGTAGGGTTCCCACAGGAGTGAAGAGGACCAAGTGGGTGCTATTCCACATAGGTGAGGTTATCTCCTTTTCCAAAGTTGCTTTTGGGCTTGAACTGAATTTAGACTCTTTAAATACAGTTTGTTTGCTGTACTGCTCTTTCTGTCTTGTGAAAGCTGCTCTGGTACTTAGAACTTGGTTGTGATTCCATCGATTTTGAACTTTTAGCAGACCAATGGAATTTCTAGATGTGTTTTTCCACATAAGAGCTATCTAAAAGATGGGGGGGGTATCCTTTCTGGTGGTGTTGCTTTATAACATGAAAAACAAATCCCTTGAAACTAAGAAAGACAAAGTTTTTAGTTAAACACCTTGCTGTCCTGTGGAAGACGCACACATGGAAATGACTCACAAGGAAAAAGCAGTTCGATGAAAACCAAAATGAAAACAAAAACCAAGGGAAAAAAAATTCCCTCTCAGGAAAACAATGGGATATACCATTCATATTTATTAAGAGAAAACTTAAGTATGCTGGAAAGCCTTAGGAGAACTCCTCCTTCGTGGTTTGCTTTTTTTGTCTTCAGACAATTGCAATTTGTGTTCTCACCTTTTAAAAGAATTTCACAATGTTGGCTAAGCAAAATGCCTAGGGCTAGTCTCAAACCTAAATTGCTACTGTGTGTATGTCTGCCATCAAGATTTTATAATTTATTCTTTTCCAAGCTTAGTCCTCTTACTTCTACCTAAAGTGTCTAACATCTTGCCAAGAAAAGCCCTTAAAGGTTGGCAGTTGCTTTGCCTCATGTTCCCCTCTCATACTGGCTCTTTAAAACTTAAGTATCTGATGGTTCAGTCTGTTTTGATTCTCCAGTCTAATGTTCCATCCTACTGCCACTCTGGCAATATGAACAAGTAGTTTTCTTCAACAGATCATAGTGGGGGGAGTGGCCAACACTCCAGATGACGTGCAGACGTACGCTTCTTGCACTCTTCTTGCATCCAGCTTGAAAGAAAGCAAGTGGGGAAATGAGAAACCACAAGAAAAAGTACAGACTGGACCTATTGAGGCTTGTGTGGCATGGCTGCTGGAAAATGAATTCATTCAGGTTCTGGACTCTGGCAATGGTGTGAAAGGTAACATTGATGTTCTTCCCCGTGATTGCAGTTAGCAGTCTGGAATCAGTAAATCTTCTGCAGCTGGGGGGATGCTCAAAGTAATTTTATAATGAGGACTTCCGTGCATTTTTCTTTTTGTTTTAAAGATTCATGTATACCAAGAATTTTTTTAGCTTTCTGGAGGGTGTCTTTATACCTGCTTTAACGTTTTTTGCATGCATGTGTTCTTGGAAGGCCTCTCTCTGCACATCTCCTCTAAGACTGATGCATCCTTGTCTATAAATTCCCAAAATATCTTTAAACAAGGCATACTTTTACTACAGGATTTGTGCATATTAACTGTAGACTATGATTTTTGTCGTTCTGAAGAAGAACCAGTACATGCTAAAGTCTCTTTCACAACCTCTTGGTGTACGTGGTTACACTTTTTCCTGATTTTGGATATTTTCTTAAAATAGCTAAGGATGAGACTCTTACAGTAATAATAAGAATCCTCATTACAGGTTAATTTGTATCTCTCTTAAGAAAAGGCTATAGGAGATATTTGATGCTCATAAGAAAGAAACATTCAAAATGATAACTCCTAGGCAGGATGGCAGATGGGATTCCAGTGGCTTTTGTTCAAATAGCTGTCACAACTGTTAATCTGAGTAGTTAGACAGATCCAAATTTGTGATCTGGCCTCTGACAAAGGCTAGTTTACACTCAGACAAGTCTAACCCTTTTATTGTTTCTATTTTCCTGTCTAAGGAATGGAGAAATATGCTATTTCTTCTTGAAAAAGCAGTTGGGAAAAGTTAGTAGAATTGATGTCTATAAAATACATTGCAACCTGAAAATGAGATATAAGCTTGCACCTAGATGTTTCTCTGTGTGTGTGTTTTGTTTTTTGCCTTTTTTATTATTATTTTATTTTTTTTAAATAGCAAAGGTGTATCATCCAACACATCTTGGCTCAGCTACTCTTTCCTCCTCTCTTTCACCAATTGAAGCCATGGAAATCTTTGCTGACCTGCAGCGAGCTATGAAAAGCTTTGTTCTGGAGAATGATCTGCATATTGTCTATTTGGTAGGTTCCTCATTCTGTGTTTTGTATTTTGTATGGCCAAAACTAGGGGAAGGAGAGAAAGCACAATGCAGAGTTCATGAGGCCTCCATGAACATAGGGGTTTTTATGGGCTTTGCTTAGCCCATCCTTCATGAAGAAAAGTTTCTAAATTGAATGTTCTTCAGAACTAGTCTATTCCCATAGTGTCTGTTGTGTAAGCAGGTGCATGTCCATATAAGCCCATTGCTGTCACTCCTGACTTCAAAAGGTTTCAGAACTTTGTAAGCTTTGGGTATAGGATAATGGTAATTTTTCTGAGACACTTGATGGAACAAATTGGTTTTGTTGTGTGTTTGGGATCAGCAGGTTTCATCTCAGGTTACTTTTGGAGATTCAGAAAACTTTTGGGGTTTTAGCATCTATTTTGCCTACAAAAAGCCTCAGAGAACTACGCTGCTTTCTTCTTATGGACGGGCCTTTCTTTGGTTCAGTAACAGTGAAATTCATCTCTGATTTAGTTTACTTGCCTGGCGATGCTGCCAGGGCTAAAGGAAGGAGCATGATAAATCTTTTGAGGGGAAAGTGTCCCAAAGTTTGTCAAGATTTATGTGCGTATACACTTAAAAAGCTAAGCAATGCTATTTAAGACCTTTGGAGAGGAAGCCATCAACCTGTGAAGATCAGTGAGGAAACAAGATGGGTTTGCAGTGAACGTCTTGGGATTCACGGCTGCCAGAGGCCTGTCATGCAATCATCATCTGAAATTTGACAGTCATCTCTATTCTCCTTAAGTATAAAGAGTATCATCTTTATCATGCTGATAAATCAAAGGCAAAATTTGGGCATCTTGCCAGGAAAAAAGTTCACTCCAAGGAGACTATACTGGTGGTTCCAGGAGTTGTTGAGCTACGGGACAGGGGAGGCAAGAGACTGAGGGTGCCTGTCTCTGCTTGCTGTATTCATTAACCTAGTTATTGGCTGATACTGATAGATTTTGTTGGATCTGCTAGTGTCCCATATGTACCCATATCTCTGTTTTAGAGGACCACATTATGTTTTGTTCTGTTTCTGCTAGGCAAAGTGGACTGTTTTGTGTCATGTGTCAGTGAATTTTTTCCCAGTTTGCATCTCCAAAACAGGAAAAAAAAAAAAGGATGAAACATGTTCATTTTCTGGGGTAGAGACAGTGATGGCTATATTTTTTTACCCGTACTTTTTAATTGCAGCAGCTTGTCAAATGTCATTTTAAATCAAAGATGCTGTTGAACAAAATGTTCTTGAGATTCTCTTCTATTAAGCTAGCCTAAAACACTTTCTTGCAAGTCTGTTCATTTTCAAGGCCGAAGGTTTATTGAGTTTTGGTGGCTTTATTTATTTATTTCTAAAAATAATTGTTCTCCATATGTTTCTTATGGGCTACAGGGAAATTATGTACTATAATGCTTTGTAGTTCTCATAGGCTTGAATCTTTTACTTGTACAAATATGAGACTGAATTCCAAGACCTTGTATTTTAGGAAAGTTGATTAAGACAAAAAAGTGTTTGCTAGGCTAGGAAAAGGGCTTACTTTAAAGAAAAAAAAAAACAACCAACAAACAACAAAAGACAATCCCCCACCTTAATAACTCTTATTCTTCTCAGTAGATGAAGGGGCATGGATGATTTACAACTAACTATGTATCTGGTATTCTGTGTTATGTTAAATGCTCCCCAACAACTGTTAGTTATTTCAAAATAATTAATCTTGCAGTATATCGATGCAGGGATGAAGACATTTTGTCTCTTTGTACTGAAACTGACTCTGTGCTGACTGAATGATAACAGAATTGGTTTTCTGTCTAAAAGTGTGTGAATGCTCTGCATGGCTTTTTTTGTTAGTGTTAATAAAAGTTGAGATTTCTTTTACTCCAGGTAAATGAAAGCTTCAGCGAGTTCTGGCAAAATCTATGTTCCCTCCTGATTTATCAGATGTCTTGTCAGTGGTTAGTGTGGTTGCTAGTGGTTTTAACAGGTTGATAGATAACTATCAGTTTTGTTAAAAAAAGAATAAAGTTTTTGTTAAAGGAGAATAAAGATGCAGCTTAAAAATCTTCTAGTGTCTTGGATTTAGGCAGCAATCTGACAAAGATTCCAATTGTTTAATCATTAGAGTACCCGTGTGAGTCAGATGTACAAATATTAAAAAAAATGAGGTTAGAAGAGCTTTTACTTTCCTCTGGGTACATGGTTATGACTCAGTGCCTCTGAGTGGTGTGTAGAATGCTCTAACCACGTTCCCTAGGCTGTATTTTTGTTTACCCAAAGCTCTGTTCTGTTTATTTCTCTGAAATAGTTTTTTGCATTTTCTTACTTTCCTTAGGTCACTCCAGTGTATGAGGAGTGGACCACAATTGACTGGTACCAGTTTTTCTGCTTATGGGAGAAGCTGCCCGCTTCAATGAAACGTGTGGCTGAGCTGGTGGGGATTGAAGAAGGCTTTCTGGCTCGCTCTGTAAAGGGCAAAATCATAGCTAAAACAGAGAAACAGCATAGACAAATGGCCATCCACAAAAGGTAGCCACAAATGGGTGTGAACGTGCAAAGACTAGAGGCTATAACACGTGGAGTGGACAGGCTCTGCGTCTGTTTTCAGGAGCTGGCTCTCTTGCTGAGTGAGCTGATAGCTCAGAGAACCTGGACCTGGTCTGCTCTGGACTGAGAACACTGCTGGCACAAGATGTTTGTGCTGATGTTTTTGGAAGCCATCTTCTCTTTCTTGTGTGTGCTATGCTATAGTGCCCTTCTGTCCAGTGCTATCACAGTGCATTTTGCCATGTACACTAATGTGCCCTGGATGATGATTTTATTTCCATGTATACTACTTATACAGGTTTTTCACCAGTCTGGCCCTTCTGGATTTAATCAGTGAGGTTCCCTTAAAAGACATGACCAAGAAATACAACTGTAGTCGTGGCCAGCTTCAATCCTTGCAGCAATCTGCTGCCACCTATGCAGGTGAGTTGTCTGGGCAAAATACCCCAGGAGTCTTGGACTACTCTGCGTTCTTTCCTTCCACATACAGGCATAAGATAGCCACAGTGTGGTACTAACAACAATCAGTCTTCTAAAACCACTTCCAGCTTTATAGCTTAATCTGTGGTTGCCCCTGCTTTGAGATGGAACCACAGAGTGTGTTGTGGGAAGGGGGCCAGCTGAGTGGAATCAAGCAGTGCTGTAGCACGCTGAGGTCTGTGGAAGTCATCTGTGTACTGTGCAGGAATATAGTTTGTTCAGTACTAAGTATGGAAATAAGTACAAGTCCTTTCCTTTCAGGAAAGAGTACCTTTCAGTGTGGGTAAAGTTTGGGGTCTCTAAGACTTAGCATGTCTTTCTCCTGGTTGCAAATTTAATTGGCTGGAAAGTCTAAGTTTGTAGTTTTCAAAACAGAATGAGTAGTTTCTGGGTCATTTATCACCAGAGAACAAGAGGTCAGATAGTTGTCACCTTTAACTTAACTTCCTTAAGAAGGCTGTGGAGGAGTAGAAGTAACAGGCCACCATGTGACTGAGATTTTTTTTTTTTTTTCCTTGTTGCCTAAGTCCTAAGTGGGTCTTCAATTTTTGAGACAGTTTTAGCTCATCTTGCGAAACCCTATGTGTGGGTTGCAGCATGAGTCAAAGCCCCAAAATGAAAAGGTCACGCCAACTGATGCAGAGTAGTTTAAATTAATTCTGGTAGTATAAATAACTTTTTGGTGTAGCAGTTTCGTAATTCTCTATTCCTGGCGTTAATAATTTTCAGAAAAGTGAAATGAACTGTTGACATGTAGTTAAGAGATACGATAGAAGTTGTATTCTATAGTCACTGTAAAAATAGTGAGGGATGCTGCGTCTTTCAGTTATTTTCATATTCTGTAGATGCGATCTGTGAGTAAGAAACTGTCTTTTCCCTGCTCTTTTCCTCCTCCCATGCACTGGGAACTGCAGTTGTAACTTTTATCATAGGCTTTGCTACCTGCTATGATGTTCTCAGCAGCTGAAGTTCTGCAGACCAAGTTCTGCTCTTATGGACATCTGTGATGGCGTTCCTCAAAGCTCTGTGGCTTTTCTTAGTGCCTCTCGTCACTGTTTTTTCTGCCTTTTTTTTTGTTTGTTTTTCCAGTGTGTTTGGTTCATAGAACTCCTGTTACAGGAGATGCATGTGCTTTACTCTTTCAAGATTAGAGTCTTTGGAAAAGCAACGTCATTCAGAATTTCCACCTCACTGATAAACTAGTTAATTCTAGATTAAGCTGAGTTCTGTGAGACCGGCTCCTAGCCATAGTTGCAATAAGCATGAGTTAGTTTCTTTAAGTAATGGGAATGTGAGAAATGTAAAGTGAATGCCTATTCAGATGAGGGGGGAAGAATGAATCCAGCTTAGTAGAACTGGAGCCGGAGTTAAAACATTGATGTAACTTCTGTGTTCCAGGAATGGTAACGGTTTTCTGTAATCGACTGGGCTGGCACAACATGGAGCTGTTGCTCTCTCAGTTCCAGAGCCGCCTCACTTTTGGGGTTCAGAGGGAGCTTTGCGACCTGGTACGAGTGTCTCTGGTGAATGCACAGCGTGCTAGGATGCTTTACAATGCTGGCTTTGTCACAGTGGCTGATCTTGCTAAAGCCAGTCCTGATGATGTGGCAACTGCTCTGAAGAATTCAGTACCATTCAAAAGGTGAGAAATCAGGAAGTTCGGAAGGCAAGAAAGGAGTTTGTTGGTAAGGTGAAGGGTTGCAGGATGAAACCTGTAATAAAATATGGCGACCTTTTGGGACTTGGTACCAAACGTTAGAAGTAACTTGTAGGCCTCTGTGACTGATCACAGTCGTTCCGTGATTACCTTTTAAATGAATAGAAGCATCTTTTATTTGTAGCAGAAGTTTGAGACACCTAAATTTTCTTAATCCTTTTTTCAGTGCACTGTTTAGTCCTAGGTGAATTGCTAACGCTTTCTGGAGACCTTTTGCTGCCTCTAAAAGGCAGCTCCACCATGTGATCAAAAGAGTTGATGATTTATTACTGTATGTGATTTTTCATGTTAGTGCAATGACATGCAATGACAAGCTTCCTTGGTCAGGTACCTGTTGCACTGTGCCATGACACCTGTCTGGTCATGCCTCTGAGGTTTCTTTGGAAAACAGTGCATGGAGGCGGATTGATTCAGACCTGGATCTTGCCCTAGTAGGGAGTTGGAACTCATGTGGGGTACATGTTTGGACACAGAAACCTGGGAATGCTTCTGGGGTATGCAGCCCGTAGTATCTTTCATCGTTATCAATTCACATATAGAAAACTGAAATAATTATTTCCTATTAAGTGCATTATAGTTTGGATACAGTGCTTCTGTGAAGCTAGGAGGCTGTGAAGCTAATTGAAATGGGAACAGAGCAGGATAGTGCTGGTTCCTTGTGTTGGTTGTTTATTTTGTGCATGAATGTTCACATCTGTCTGTTACCTTTCCCACAGTGTTCGTAGGGCTGTGGATGAAGATGAAGAATCAGCAGAGGAGCGTCGGACTGTGCGCAGCATCTGGATGGCTGGAATGAAAGGCTTAACCGAAAGAAAAGCAGCTTCCCTCATTGTGGAGGAAGCCAGGGGACTTCTCCAGCAGGATTTGGCACTGATGGGGGTGCAGTGGAACCCAGAGTCTTTTCTTGAGACTGATACATCCTCTGTGATCAGCAGTGAGTCAGAACTGGAAGACAGACTACATAGATCAAATGGAGAGTCTTCTGAGTCTTCGAGGGTGTTAAACAAAAAAGGGTGCAGAGTTCAACATCGTAATGGCCTTGGTTCTTGGACTGGAAACTTATCGAATATTAAAAAGGGATGTAAAAGGCAGCTTAGTGGTAGTACAGAAAACTCCAGATTCGAGAGTGAAGTCCCAGGCATGGGACAGGCTCAAGCAGAGGAAGGCAGTGACGATATTGTGTACAGTGCTAGAAAACGGCCAAATACATGCAGAGATAATGAAAACGTAGCAGGAATTTCTCTGGTCAAAACCACAATGGAGTCTAGGAGAGCAATTCCAGAACTTCCTACTGAACAAGGAAAAACACCAACATTGAGAACAAAGTCTTCAGCCTCTAGATTGACAAAAAGTATGGACATGCATTTAAACCGGTCTAGGAACAAAAATACTGCTTCAAAACTGCAGAGCTTGCTTCTTGAAGGTTCAAATGTGCTTAGCATGGACATACCAAAGCCACCTGCTTTCCACCCCACCATCTCTAAAGATAATTTTTTTTCAGACCAAAATAATAAGGAATTTATGGAAATAGGGTCTGTAACTCATAAAGTCTCAAATTCTATACAGATGGGGGAAATTAATCTTGGGAGGAAAGACAAAATGGAAGGACTTTTTACAGAGCCTGCCACCACTAATGAAGGTGTACCTAAGGGGAGAGCATGTTTTCAGGCACCTGTTACGTTGCAGGGTACTCCACACATCAATGAGGAGACACATAATATTGTAGAAACTCTAGTAATACCTGGTAGTGCTAGGACACAGAGAAATGAAAATACTGATGGTAAGCAGAATAAAATTACTAAAATGCAAGCAGATGTGAAGTGTGCCGAGGCAATAGTTGGTAAGCAGCAAATGGCTTTAGACACAGATCATGGTAATGTAACTGCTAGCTGCTCTGGAAGTGGACATGTCCGTGGTGGCAGCAAGATACAGAAGCCTGTGGACTTTTGTCCTAGTGAGGATAAATCCTGCCATATTCAGATTCAGAATGGTGGCAAAAATGGGAGTGAAAATGCCAATGGAATATTGTTACAAGCTGGAGCACTGCAGAAAGCCAACAGTCATCCTAAGGGTCTTCTGAAGGACTCTCTAGTAACATCCAGAGGTGCTTGCTACGCAGATGATGTTCACAATGGTCCATCCTCTGATCCGTTTTCTGACTCCAGAGACTTTGAAGACAGCTTCCGGTTGGATACTCAAACTGAGATGATAATAAAACAGGAGGGAGCAGCTGGAATCACAGGGCAGCAGGGAATACGAGGTTCAGAACTGGCAGCAATACCACGGCAGAAAATCTCCAAGAAACTAAGCACTTCACGGACTGAGAATGCTACTGATGAAAGGCTGGCTGCAACAGTTAGGAAACTGGGCTTATCAAGTGTTATCACAGCAAATAACGTTTCAAAAAACACAGCTCAGAACTGCAGTAATAAAGTTTTGGAGTCTGGAGGCCTTAATTTACAGCCTGTAGTGAAGGAAATAGAATCTGCACCTTGCCTTAAAGAAAGCGATTTCTCAGTGACCGACTCCCAGCTACACAGTTTTCTACAAGATTACCAGACCCAAAATTCAGTGAAAGGGGAGAGCGTGTCTAAAGACCTTAAAGCAACCTCCCCTTTTGGTGGGGAGTACATTGTACAAGTAGAATGCGACCCTGTCACCAAAACAAGCCTGAATATGAGTGATAGCTTGCTGTTTGACGATAGCTTCAGCAATGTCAGCGACCTTTCAGCTGTTCACATCACGGAAGCTGACAGAAAGGGCCCTGTGGAGAACCAAGAGGCTTTGCTTCCTCCAGAAGGCCTTTTGCAGAACCTAGGGCCTGTTCAGAATAAGTTTGATGTCAGTAGCAAACAGAAAGAGCATGAGGATGCTGCGCAGCGTAACAGTGTGTCTCTAGCATTCTCTGATCTAATAGCTGATGTTTTAGATCATGCAAACTCCCCGCCTTTTCTGGAAGATCTTCCTTCTACCTTCCACGGTCAGTCAGGATTAAGAATTTGTAACAATGACTCCAGACCAAAGGATTTAGTAGAACAAGGTGAAAAGCTCCAGAGAAGCCAGCAAGCTTTAGGCAAGAAAACCCATCCAGTCATGTGGACTGACCGCTCATTTGAACTCACCCCAGGATTGCAGGATGTGTTAGACAAATGGCCTAGTCCCTCAGGCACTGAATCAGTTCCGGTAAGCTCCTGCTTGAAAGGAAAGTTAGTTGCTCCTGTTGTTAATCAAGAGCCAGATCCAGTTTTTGAATCTGACTGTTGTCAGCTACAGCCTTTGCCCACTTGCAAGAATTTGAAAAACTTCTTCAAGGTTAAAGAAAATGAAATGGAAACCTCAGATCTTCAGAAAACAGACTGCATAATGCTTCCACTCAAGGGAAGCAACAGAACATCCTGTCCTCCACCAGATATTAATAATGGGTTTATTCCTCCAACACCCCCCAAAGAGCTTTTTCCAAAGAGTTCCATTTCTCTCTCTGTGAAATCTGCAAGGAAGAGACAAGTCGCCTGCATGAATGAAGGGCAGCTGATTCAGCCACAGCAGAATAGTGAGGGCAATGCAGAGCAGCAGGTAAAAACACTCCAGGTCAGTCTTGGGATTGTAGACCCAATTGAGACTGATGAGATAAAAGATGATTCCACTATAGACCAAAGCTTTTCACTGCAGCTGTCTCAGGATGTTTTTCCACTCGTTCCCTTAAGTGCTGAAAGTTTCACTATTATTGATGTAGCAAGTGACAAAGCACTTTTCCAGACTTTTGTTGCAGAGTGGAAGCAGAAGAGCAGATTCTCCATCTCAGTGGCATGCGAAAGAACAAAATGTCTTTTGTCTCCCAAATCAACGATTGGTGGCAAATTCAGAAAAGGTCAGTTCTGTGTTCCAGCACATTGTTGTGTGAACAGCACGGTGGCATCTTCAGTTTAAGGCAGGAGTGGAGAAGGAAAGGGTTTGCAAAAAAGGAAGAAAACTGATATTAATTTAATGTTGTCAGTCTTAATAAAGCAAAGGAGCTGAGCATTACTAGTGGATGGAGAATTGGTCTCAAGCATTTCATTGGTAGGTCTTTGGTAATAGTAATTGTTAGCAGCTTGTTTGTATGTTAGAGCATCTAAATATTCTTAATGTTTCATTGTGTATCTAGTTCTGAAATGGATCAGTGTTGTGCAGTCCCTTTATCATATGTATATTTCTATGTCATAAACGAGTTTTAGTATATTTTAAGATGAATAATATATTTAACAGTAAACTGTACAGATTGTTCAGAGTCTCCACTGAGCAGTGTTACTTGCCTCTGAACCAAGGTTAAATATGTTTGAGTTTGCGAAAAGTAAACTTGGTTCAATATATGCATGTGTGAAATTTGGATAGTCTCTGGGTTGTTGCAATGTTGCTTCAATTTTTTTTTTCATTTTTTTTTTTCCACAGAACTATTCATATGCTGCAGTTTGCTACTGCTGCTGTATAAACATACTCTTCCTTTAAAAGAACACAATTAAGCAGAGTTAGATTCTTTGCTGTCATATTGCCATAACAACAACAACAAAATTTCTTAACTATAAAAATATATTTTTGACAGGCAAATGTGAAATGTTTTTCAGAGTGGAAGGAGGGAATACATTTCTGTCTCAACTCTTGAAGAGATTGCTAGGAAAAGTCAGAGTTTTGCAGGGATGCTATATGGGTGGTTGTTTCTGTAAAAAGAAAGTGTTGCTATTCTAAACACGTTAGTGGTTTGTTTTTTTTTTCCCAAAAGGAAACAGTTTTTTCTCCCTATAGATGAAAATGGAGGTATATATGTTAAGAAATTTAGGCTCAACTGGTGGATGTATTTACATTTTCAGGATCCAAACTCTTCTGTATTTATGGATGCCATTTTATAATTGTAACTTAAAAATTATTCCTTTAGTAAGTTCTCCTCAGTGGATGCACGTTAAAGATGATGGATTTCCTGTCCAAGGCTGTGAAGACATCTTGGTAGTTGGACTGGCAGTATGTTGGGGTGGAAAAGATGCCTACTATATCTCCTTGCAGCAGATACAGGACCAGAATGGTAAGTGAGCAAACAGGCTGTGCTGTCTTGCTGCATTTCAAAGAAGTACCTTCAGCAGATAGGTTCTTGTAGGTGTTTTGTGTGTCCCAAACCCAGCTCAGCTGTGTGACGGGGCGATTTAGCCATATTATTCAGCAGCCTGAAGTATTGAACCCCCTTGAACATGTTGCTGTGGATATGTCTATGCTGCTGTATAATAAGGCCAGGTAATTGGCTCAAGCACTGGACTGCTGAGCATGCATGGCTAAAATGTTAGCTTATTCTCATGTTCTCTTTAGATTACTTGCTTTTCTTTTTCCCCTTCTTCGAATTTTTGCTCTCCAAAACACATTTGACACTTGAATGCTGAACATAATCTAATCTGTTACGTGGGCTCACGGCTATGGTTTGAATCTTGGCTCTCCTTTGTTTAGTAGTGCATACACAGCATACTGCTTTTGTCAGCCTTGTCTGGTTTGATAAAATATGTAATATCTGTATAGATTTATTGTTATTTGTTCACAGTCCAACTGTAGTTTTTGTGCTTTAGGTGATAGCATTCAGGATTTTTCTTTTGCTTTTCTTATCACACAGTGGGTAAAAAAGATTATTTTTGCTTGTATTTCCTGCCTTAGAAATCAGTATGAGTTTGGCACCTCCGCCTTTGGACAAAAACCTATCTGTAACAGAGAGACTGTATCATCTGCAGCTGTACCTGCAGAAGAAACCCAAGTGGGAGCGCTCACTTGTCATGTATAACTTCATTCAGCACTACAAGACTCTGGTGATGGCTTGTGGCATCTCCTTGGAAGGAAGTTTTGAGGACCCAAAGGTTTGCAGGATTAAGAAATTTAGCTTGGATAAAACTACTAGTTTAAACACACCAGTGGAAAGATAGGAGTACCTTCTGGATCATTCCTTCTGTTATGTAGACTCGAATATGCATGCCTATCAGGGGGTTTAGTGAAATTTTCTTCTGGTGGGAAATCTAGAACAGTATTTAGAGGGGACTTCTTTTGCTGTGGGTGTTTGTGTTGCCCGCAAGAGAAACAAAGCAGGTTCAGCGATAGGTTAACACATCAGTTTTTCATGCCTGATTGCTTGGGTGGGGCGGATGACTTTAAATCACTCCCCTGTCTCAGTGGACAGGGCTGAACTCTTCTTTTGGTGCTATAAGAAGCTTGGGACTAAAATAGCAGCAGTGCCTCTGGGCAGATTATTGATTCTGAGAGCAGAAGACTTTGTAAGCAAAAGATTTACGTGCTATGTGTGTGGACCACCTTGATGCCACTATTTTCTCAAAACAAAACAAAGTTTTTGTAACTCAAATGAAACACTAGAAAGAGATAAAAGCACCTTGTTCTCCTTGTCAGGAAAAACTCTAGATGCACAGAAATTTCTGGTGTTGATTTTTAAAGCTTGTATCACATGTGGGCTGAATAGCCTCACGGCAGTATTAAAGTCTGCAAGTGAGTAGCTAAGGTGTCCAACACAAGGACAAACTTAGCTTTTCGTACTGATACAGAGTTTTAGGATAAAATTAGAGAGCGATAAAAGTAGGACTTTTCCTTTGCACTGTTACGTGTATTAAATGGAGTCATACTCATATTTGTTCATGTTAGTGATGTAATGAATCTATACATACCCACACACATTCACCAATCCCCCCCCATATAAATGTGTGGTTTTTACCTTCTGCTTGTGTGGCAGTGACAATGCAGAAACCTGTGTTTCATCCTATTTTGACACAAGAAATTGAAATATAGCTATAAGCAAAATTGCTTCAAAGACAGTGGGAGGTATGAGGCTTACTGTGAAGAAAATTTGCCTTGCAGAATTCTTGGTACTAGTGCTGATGTGCAAAAAAATAAGAGAGCTCATCTTGACCAATATTCTAGATGAATAGCAAGTTCTGATTTTTACAAAGTCAGTTTTCAGATTAAACATGTTTTGACCCTGGGTTTCATTTTTAATCACCTTTGTGTTAGGTTTTATTAAATGAAAAAACCTGAGGGAAATGCTTCTAGATGTGTTTAGCTGATGGAGGAAAAGGTTTTCAAATGCGCAGTTAACTTTGAGTGACAATGAAGCTTTTCAGTGAGTTATACCCTCTTGAAGGTTTTATCTGAAATCATGTGGCTTTTCCACAAATTATTCCAGTCTCCCTGCCAAATCAAGAAATATAATCTGCACTATAACCTTGCATTAATACCCAGTTAAATATTCATGTTCTATTATGACTAAAATGGAAAAAAGGTCTCACGGAGCTCTCCCTTTTTAAGGTGGCATGTTGGCTGCTTGATTCTGGCTCTAAGGAACGTACACTTCACAACATGGTGACTAACTTTCTTCCCAACGAGCTGCCTCTGCTGGAAGGGGTAGGCACCGGCCAAGGGGTGCAGAGCCTGGGGCTTAGTGCCAGCGGAGATCATTCTGGGCGTTACAGAGCAGCAATAGAGTCTGTGCTTGTCTTCAATGTCATGAACCAACTCCATAATGAATTACAGAAGGAAAATCTGACAGGTAAAGAGGGCTTCTCCACTTGGGGCAAAGATGGAGGGTAAAGTTGTGTGCTACCACAGGCCAAGTGATCAATGGGGAAGAGAGGAGATTCGGAAGTTCTTACCTAAGTATATTCTGTGGCAAAATGTTAATTTGTTAAAAAAAAAAAAAAAAAGGGAACTTCCCTTGGAAGTAAATCTGTTTCGTCAAAAAAAAAAATAAAATTGTAAATTAAAATATAATTTTTATATCCCGAATATCCACCAGTTCCATTGGTAAAGGCAATAGCAGAGTCTATTTTAAGTCTCTGAATCAACCAGATCTCTAACTCCCAGGTGAGTACCCTGGCCATTCTGAGCGAACTCATGAACGTTTTCAAAAATTTTTGCATTTCCTTGTCAGAAGCAATTCCTAAAATCCTCAAATATTTTCTGAAGGAGATTTCTTGCTCTTTGGCCTACCCGTATAGCATTGTTTGTCATGTACGTGTTGTGTCCATGGAACTTTTGTGATCCCATAGTGAATGATCTAGTATTTTTGCACTAATACGTTTGCTGAATGCTTGTCTCTGTTTAAAAACAAGCAAACAGAAACTCCCCCAAAAGCACATACCTATTGGTGGGCTTTATGATTGTTTCCCCTAAATTTTATCCAAAGCCTAAGATTAGGGTCTAGTCTCAATGAAGTTTTTTTTATTGCAAGCTTACCACATCATTTATGATCTTGACAACTAAACCTTAGAACATTTTTAAAGATGTGGGTGGTGGAATGAAAGTGTATCAAGTTAGAAAGCTTTACATTAGGCATGTCTAAGGCTTATAAAATGTTGATATACAGAGATGTGTATTTCTTAGAGGAAAAAAAATTGACAGAAGTTGCTAGTCCCTGAAATACTTTCGTCATAAATGTTCTGTAATACTTCTTATTATGAAATATTTCTTACTATGAAATATTCCAGAAACAAAAGTATTTCAACTAAATCTGTATTAAAAGGTTTCAGTGTGTCAGGACATTCAGGATTTTAAAAACTGTGGATTCTCCAGTTGTTTTTTGGTTTTGATCTGCAGTGGATCTGATTTTGGTGTTACAAAAGTGTTTTTCTTGGGGTTTGTACTTACTACAGATGTATTTTCTAAAGTGGAGATGCCCACCCATTATTGCTTGGCTCTGCTGGAGCTGAACGGCATTGGTTTTAGCACAACTGCATATGAAACCCAGAAACAGGTCATGCAAGCTAAACTGAGCGAGATTGAGATGAAGGCATATCAGCTGGCAGGCCACAGCTTCTCCTTGACCAGCCCTGATGACATTGCAGAGGTACGTGAGGGTTAGGGTGGGAGGGGGAGAACTTTCTCAGAAGTTACCTCAAGAGGCTTTTACTTAGACTTGAGAAAATAACTTCTTGGGCAGACTGTGTGTGAAGAAAAGAAAAATGCAAATTCAACCCTGCTCAGAGTTGATTTGTCTTTACACTCATGAGCTTGCTGCCTGCCAGGTGCTGTCCATCTCCTGCTTGTTGCTGATCATCCTGATTTCTGCTAACTTTAGCAGAAATGAAGAAGGTAGAAGTGGAAATAAGCGTGTTGGAAATAAAACTAAAATGGCAATGAGCATGTTATGTGTATAGGACCTGGGCTTCTCATGGCATGTCAGAAATAAAACAATGAAATACAACAAAGGCAAGTGTAGAGTCTTGCATCTGGGAAAGAACAACCCCATGTACCAGTATAGGCTGGGGACTGAGCTGTTAGTAGTGCAGGGGAAAGGGACCTGGGGGTCCTGGTGGGCAGCAGGATGACCGTGAGCCAGCAGTGTGCCCTCATGGCCAAGAAGGCCAATGGCATCCTGGGGTGTTAGAAGGGATGTGGCCAGTAGGTCAAGGGAGGTTCTCTTCCCCTCTACTCTGCCCTGGTAAGACCGCATCTTGAATATTGTGTCCAGTTCTGGGCCCCTCAGTTCAAGAAGGACAGGGAGCTGCTTGAAAGAGTCCAGTGAAGAGCCACAGAGATGATTAAGGGAGTGGAACATCTCCCTTCTGATGAAAGGCTGAGGGAGCTGGGTCTCTTTAGCTTGGAGAAGAGGAGACTGAGGGGTGACCTCATCAATGTTTATAAATATGTAAAGGGTGAGTGTCAAGAGGATGGAGCCG